AGGAATGCCTGAGAAGCAATCCTGAGGGGGAGAGGATTCTCCTCGATCATTAGCCCCAGGTACAATATCCTCAGAGCATATGGCTGCTTCTGCATACGTGTCACTGTAGTTCATCTGGATGAAAGCACTTACAGCACCAGCTGTAAAGGTAACTCCCAAGTATTAAATGACCTTGGAGCTCAGACCCTCGAGTCCTCTGTTAGTGGAATTTCTCAGGGAGCATGGCCGGTTTTAATTTTTTGCTTTGTGATGAGCAGATGTTTTGTGTCTATGCTAGTTAGTCTGGTTTTGAGAGCTGAGAATCTTAATTTGTAGGAGGTAGAAGAGAGTCTCTGCGTAACTTTGTTAAAGGATATGTATTTCTAGAGTAGCTTTCAGAGTCTCTTGCAGTGATGGGGCAGAGTTAATGTGAGGACATACAGCAAGACGATGAGACAAACTACATAAACTGGTTTTGCAGCAGTACTCTATGGGTTAGCTGGCAATTATAAACACTGTAGAGAACTTGCAGTTGAACTGCCTCAGATTACAAATGCAATACAGTTGTTCTGTCTATGCCAAATATGCCAATGAATTAGAGCCATTCTGCCGTTGCATTCTTGCTTGTAACAAAATCAAGTAGTCTTGGTTTTTTGCCTCAGGTTTGGACTGGCCTCAGTCATATCATAAACATATTCCAGTTGGACTGGTTGTTCCACATTGAGCCAAGTGCTGCTGGTACACTGGTTTCTAATGGGAATTTTTTTTTTTTTTGTCAACATCTTTAAAGTAGTTCTCTTGAAAATTATTTTTCCCTGTTTTGCTTCTCTTCAGAGCTTGGACAAGGGATATCTCATTACCACTGATATCTTCTGAATAAATGCAGGAGATGTAGTTGCAGTTCACAGAATCAGCCATCTGCAGTAAAATTCATCAAAGCTGGAAAATCTTTTTCATGGCTAAAGGGGTAATGAAATATTGACAGGATTTAGAAACGTAGTTTTAGCAGCTATTTTAATAGTCCTTAATAAGTAGCACCTGCTTTTCCAACAGGATCTGGTAATTGTTTGCTCTGTTTTGGCATCTCATGTCATACCCACTATGAAAGGTCCAGTTAACATTCACATCATATGACTAACTAGGAGCTTGATGTGGTGCTGACAAAGTTGAATTTGCCATCAAGTCCTTGCCAAATTGTGAACAACCAGTACTGTATTTTTAAGTGGTTTGTGTTTGTAGCCAATGTAAATCACAAGCCATATATCTTTATTGTAAGAAAGGAGGAAAACCTTTGATTTTCATACAATGTTACCTTTTTTAAAAAAAAAAGTATGCCTTGATGTGAGTGCTAGGCATCCAGTCTTGCTAGTAGATTGATTTCATTTGAGTGATAGTTCCAACTGCATTCTAGTTCCACCTCTATTCTAGTTCCAGTCTGTATCCTAGATGTTAAGCAGAAACTAAATCCTTAAGTGGGACAAAGGTGTTTAGCAAACAAAACTTTTGTAACTTTTAGATACTGGCTTAAAGAAGTGGCTTAGAAGCAGTGAATTAGGATATTTATTTCTGTTACTTGCTAAGGTGTGAAAGTCTTTTCTGTGGTCAAAGCACTCACTACAGGAGAAACTATTGAAGTGCTGATGAGAGCTGTAAACTTCCATAGACTATAGGTAGACTTAGGTTAGGTTTTTAAAACTTTCATATTTGTTTCAAGGAGACAGTTGTGCATAGACATAGTTAATGTCTGTTAATAACCTTGCACTCATAGAAAGCTCACAGAGTTTTTATTCGCTGGTTGATTTCTGCTTTTGGGAATACACAGAGCATGCTTGTGGAATGCAGAGGCTAACAGAGTCCTGCACTGGTGTTTCATTTACTATTGCACAATAGCAAACGTGTAAATGTGTTCACATTATGTCCTGGCTTCCTTTCTGTTTTTCCAAACTTTTGCCAGACTGCCTCTCTGTCCTTAGAGGTCTTCCGGTAGCTTTAGGTTTGTACATCCAGTGCTGTGAGAATCCTGCATGATATCAGTGAGACTGTTTCCTGAAGGGGTGGAGGGGGAAGGGGGGAAATGATGAATATGCAAAGGTGCCTTTTGTAGATACACAACGGTTACCCTGTTTACTGCAAAGGATAGATCCGAGATGCACAGTTGGAAGTAAGAAGATCTTTAAATTAAAAGCATAACTGTTGACCTATTTGTGTGATGACTGATGTTTCAATGTCTTATGACAGCCTAACAGTACTTAAGTAGGAGCATAACAAATGCTAAATGAAGACTGCCCACGTATAGCATCTTGATGTAATCTGTCTGTAACTTGGCTGTTCAGTAATTTTATCCAAGACCTGATTAGAAGGGCAGTATGTGTATCTCTGTACTCTTTTCTCCTTCCAATTTCCTTAGTCAAGTTTCTGCCTTTTTCTAGAGCCAGTGTTTTTTATCCTGTTGGATTCCTTCTTAAAGTTATGATAGCCACAGCAACTGGATTTATTTTGTGAAGTTAAAAGATGCAGAGCACAAGGCAAGGAAATACAGTGAGGCAGAGTAATTATGAAGCTTAGTAGCTGTCTTGAAAATCTGGGCTCTACAGTGATTGGTTTGCTGATCCGTGTATTTCAGAGTTCATGTATCTTGCATGTAATACCTAGGAGACCCACTGTTCCCTCTGGACAGCTGTAGTAGAACAGGGAATACTTTGGAAGAGGTACTTGGAAGAGTCTAGAAGGTAGAAACAAATTACGTTGTTCCTTTTGAGAAGGAAGTTTTGAGGATAATGTAATGTTATTTTCTTTTTTTTTTTTTTTTTTAATTTGGACAGAAACGGTTGTTTGGAGTATCTGAAACATCATTCCTGGATGATGCTCTGTTTTCAGTTTCTTCTATTCTTGCCAAAGTTCATGTTTGGGGTAAAACTTCTCATGTCAGCTGTCTGTCCCAGCTGATTTTTCCCACCACACCCACCTACTCTCCCTCCCCTGCTTTGAATTTCCACAAAAAATGTCCAGTCACTATCAAAACACTGGGAGGCAGAAACACAAAACCTAAAGTACCAGATCTTTTGTCCAGTACTCATTCTGTAAGGAACCTGAAAGTAGGAGCCAATGTCAGTATGAATTAAGAGCAGGTAGCACAACTTTGTTAGGTTGTAAGTTTATCCTGTGTTTGCTCCTCCTACTCCTGTGCTAGAAACCTAAGCTGCTTATTGCTTGTATCTTGTTTGCAGCTTATTTGTGTTGTGACATGTCTTTAGTATGTTAAACCAGCTTATGTGTCTGAGGGACACCTAAGGCTTCCCTGATGGACTTGGCTGTAACTACCCCTTTTTGAACTTGGAGTTACATGTGTCACATGTATTCTGGTTTTACTTGGAATATACATATTTTAAATTTAGGAATGCTGTGCAGTATCTAAAAATTGTTGTGTCATCTGTCATTAATAAAAGCCAAAGAATAGAAATTATTTTTTTAAATTATAAGATTCTGAACCAAGAAAAAAATCCTGTTAAATAAAAGTATCTACCGAGTAATGTAGGCATTTAGACATGCACCTGTGTTAAAAATAAACAGGCAAGATCTGCTGGTAGCTGGGCTTTGGTCTTTCATTTAACACTAATGTACTCATCTGTTTACTCATAAACTAGCAAAGCAAAAAGCTGGCATCTGTTGAGTTACAACTGTACCTCTTCCTTTCAGATCATACTCGCTGTAACGTTTGGATTCTGGATGGAGACTTATACCATAAAGGGCTATTGAAGTTTGCAGTTTCTGCAGAATCCCTGCAAGACACCATTGTAGTCTTTGTTGCAGACATGTCTAGACCTTGGACTGTTATGGAATCTTTACAGAAATGGGCCAGTGTCTTGCAAGAACATATTGATAAGATGAAAATTCCTCCAGAAGAGATGAGAGACATGGAACAGAAGTGTAAGTCTTTGTGCATCCATGCATTCTTGTCCTTTGGGGGTTTTTTATTTGGTGGGTTTGTTTTTTGGGTTTTTTTTTTTTATTTTTCTTTACTAGCTCTTGCAACTTTCTTTTGTAATGATAAATTTCTTCAGATTCATGTTTTGAGAATGGGTTGGATAAGAATTTCTTTGAAGTTGTGATTACAACTCTATTTCAAATAGGCTTTGAAACAACTCTTCCAGTTTCGCTGTGCTAACAAAATGTCAGGTGAATTAATGGTCTAAATCCCTTGCAATAATGAGATTTTGATAATTTGATTTTTAAACAGACCAGTTTTTAAAAAACTAACTTCATACAGAATTGCAATTTTAAAAATAGTAACAAAATTCAGTAACAAAGTGAGCTGTCTGCTTTCCTGTGGTATCTAAGACAGGTCCCATTCCCATACCGTGTTTGTGTTCCAGTACGTCTCTTTGCCCTTGTTTCTGATGAGGTTCAGACTGTGATGCTGGTACATCTAATTGTCTCTCACTGCAGCCATTCCTACTGTGTGACTTTAGGAATGTTGTATAAATGAACTTTCTTTCCTGGCATATCAGTGGCAGGAAAGAATCTGGCACTGGCAAGCAGTCATTGCTGCAGTATTGTTTCCTGCAGCTTTTTTTCTTTCTTAAAATAGTTGTGAATGTTTCTTGAGAGTTTTTTCTGCTTTCATATTGAATTACTCCAAAATAAATTTCTTTTCAGCTGAAGTATAGATTCAGACTGATCCTTGCTGGTTGCTGCTTTTGTTCAGGGCTGGTGGCTAGCTGTACTGGAGTGTTTAAACCTTGCAAACACTGTCTAGTAGCTTCCTTAAATTTGCTTTAGGGAGCACTGTAATCTGTTTGGCATGTGAGCATTCAGATGTATTTGTATCACTGATCTCCTTTCTGAATGTTAATATTACTTTCCCAAAAGGCTTGTGCCTACAGCATACTAGCTAGAGCTTAAACTTAATGATTGAAACCACCTGGGTTTGATTACCAGGTCATATTAAAAAAAAACTTAAAGTCTGACAATTTTTGAGGGAAAACACGTTCTTTATGTATGAGATTTTTTGGGAATGGTAGATGAAAGGCAGTTCCAGCCTAAAAATACAGCAGCTAACCCGATTTGCACTTTTCTGAGCCAAATTTTGTGGCAATCCAAATAAATGTGGAGTTTGTACACTTTTAAATTTTACTTCTGAAAAGAGAAGTGTTTTCAGCCTTCACTTAAGAGTGTACTATGTGGAGGAGCCAGTTACAGCTATGGCAAAGCTTTAACACCGTGTTTGGGGAACTTGGAACACATTCCAACAGCATTGTCTTAGAGATTCCTAAATTACGGTATCATAGAAATTCCTAGTTTCTCTTGCGCTTTAATAGAGTCGAGGGAAAAGGAAAATTTGAGAGCTGCCCAATTCACATGCTTGTGGGACTCTGCTGCCATCCTATGGCTGAGCGGTGAACTTCGGTCCAATATCAGCACGCAGGTAAAACAGGGGCCTTAATGTCTCCACTCCCAAACTTCCATCTTTCTCCTTTTCTTAGTCACTTTGTAGGACTCTCATGTCTTCCCAGACACTTGTCTTTTGAGATCTTACAAACTGTCCCTAAGGCCAGATCTGTGCTCAAAACTTTGGCCACCATAGCTTGTAATTTTCTTAACAGCAAATCATGCTGAAAGAAATTCCTATTATAGCTGTGGCTGTATTAGTGTAAATGCTTAGACAATATAGAGCACATGTGCCTGGAGAATGCCCTGTGACTGCAGTCCATCAATAAAGCTGCATCAGCAGTTTTCCATAGTAAAATCCTGCGTGTGCTTCCCAAGATAAGCTGCCACTTAGAATATGGAGAACCACTATGTTGCAATAGCCCAGATCTGAAAATAATGGGATAATAAAACACACATGCAAAGCAGGCAGTCAAAACATAGAAACAGGGTGCAGCATGAAGAGATGTGCTTAATACATTCCAGTAAAGCCCTCCTGCAGCATAATGCCACATGGATGTGTATGTTTCTTGACTTCAGCTTGTAAAACCAAATTCCCTTATGCTTGCTTTTAGATGCAAGCCAGGAGCAAGCTGAACGTCCAATGCTGCTTTCCCCAGCTATTATACTCAGTATCAGTATCCAGTAGTTCTTGTTGGCCCTGGGGAGACATTTTCTAGTATTATCCTGTTAGTATCCGTTTAAAGTGCTGCTAGGTTGTTCTTTCTCCATTACTAGGATCTTATTACCGGTTTCCAGAAATGCTTTTGTTAGCTCACCATTCTCAATGGAATTGAACTTTGGAGTGCTTGTCTTTGCTTTCAAGGTTTTGGTGGCCTTTCTTCACCAACCTTTTGTCTTGTGTTTGCTATTTGAGATACTGACTCTTGGCTTTAATGGGTGGATGACGCTGGGCTCCATCTGGTATATGAGAAGCTTTCCTTTTGTCTTGAAGAGCTTCCAGAATGGGAGGCAGGACACACATACGGAAGCAACAGGCTGCCTTTAAAGAAATGGATTATTGAAAGTATACCAAGAGTATTGTTTGTCTGCCCTCACACCTACCACTGAGCTGTTCAGGAAATTCCTTGCTTGGCTAATGTGAATTCAGATAAATAATGTCAAATATTTTAATTGAATTCAGGCTCAATTATGATAAACTGTTGTTTAAATAATACATATTTGAATAATTATTTCAGGGAAGATCTAAATTTTGACTCCTTGTTTATGGCAGCAAAGTAGAGAAGACTATTGAGAATCAGGAAATGCAGAAAGGAAGTATACTGGTAAAATGGCTATTGCATTAATATCCTCTGGAGCATTTGAAGCGAAAGACTTGAAACACAATAACATACTTTTCTGAAAATTAAGTAGTGTCCTGTTCAAGCTGAATTAGTTTCAGGTTCTCTGCCTTTTTCTTTTTTTCTGACATACAGCTGAAAGAATTCTCAGGGTAAAAGATTAAAGAAACTCACTTTGCCCAGATATCTTTTGTCTAGGAATTCTTTTCACAAGACTAAAATTTATGATCGCTAAATATAGTGTGCAAAAAAGCTAAAAGCTGTATGAACTGATTGTGAAACTTACTGAAGTGTAAATACAGAATGATTGTCTCAGAAATTTTTTCTGCATTTTTCTTGTTCTGCTGTTCAGTGCTTTTGTGATCTATCTAGTTAAGTAAGTTGTAGTGTTTGTCTGCCATTTCCATATTGTAATTAAACAGTCCCACAAGTCTGAGGATTTTATTGTTACTAGAACAATCAAACCTAAGAGCAATTGTGGATTGCTTTCTTGGTGGTCCTTCGAGTCAATTGCTCCCGTGACATGAATGATACCTCTGTTCTTGTTATAGTTACCTTTCCGTAGCTTGTGTAAATAAACAGTAACAGAAGAAAAAAACCCAGTTAGCTGGAAACTTGCATTAGTTTGCTGTGTTAAATGCGAAATTCTAAAAAGGCTTTTCACCTAGAAAAGTCACAAGTTTGCTAGATAAATTCACACACTGTAGCAGAGGTGTGGTTTTTATGGCATGTTATCATCTGGTGATAATTTTTCACGTGTAATAGTACCTGACCTTACTCAGAATATTACTGATTTGTCAGATGAACAGTTGTTTTTCTGGCTTCCTATTTGATGTGCATCCTCTTATGTGTATTTCCTGTTCAAAAAAATTTAAACCACAGTCATTTTCCTCTCCTTGAAGAGTTATTTCCCATATCATATAGAGTGTGATTCCTTGATATGAATTATGTGGAGAAAATATTCATAGCTTGCTAGAAAAAAGGAAGAAAAAAGATGTATGCAAGCTATTTGGGTGTATGATGAACTTTATGCCCATTAAAAGTTTTAGAGTGGAGATCAAGTGAGAAATAGATTTGGGAGGTAAGAAAAAGTACTAAATAGCTATGTTGAAGTGAGCTTCTTTATTAGCTGCTTAGAATGCAGCTTGTTCCTAAGATGCAGTCTGACAGCCTTTGTGATACAGGTTTACTTTGGATTTAACAAGACTAAATTTTGAATGAGAATGGGGGTTGAATGGCAGTCTTTAAAAAGTATTTAAGAGCCTATCACTAACAGTGATCTTTAATTCAATAACAAGTGTATCTGCATTCAGGATACAGTAGTTAGAGATTTTTAGTATAGCTTTTTTACCTTCTTTTAACTCTAGTAGTTAGTTGTTCAACAGACCTTGTTAAGTAAAGCCAAGTGTATTCTGTAGCATTTCTCAGTCTTTAGTCAGGGATTAATGCCAGACCATATGCATTACTAACAATCTACAACAACAGTTCTTCTCCACAGTGAAGCTTTTTCTCCCTCCATGCATGGATCAACCAGAGTGAGATACAGCCTTGTTGATCACTGCTCTGTGATGCATGGTGTTTGGTACTGCTTACTCTTGGGGAGAGGGAAGAGTTGGGAATCTTTGCTCTCTAGGATTATGGTCTTCATTCCCATTCAGCAGAAACTTATGAGGCTGCGTCATCATATTTCTGAAGGTTCTATGTTGCATTTGCTATTGTTTATATCAGTAAAATTCTTGGGGTGTCTTGAATAATAGTTAGTATTGTGTTGTCAGAGTCTTGCTGTTTTCAAGAGCAGCTTTTCTTTCCCAAATTTGAGGGGGGTTATACTAATAGATATCTCAGTAAACAAAAGACTTTTCTGCTTTGAGGTGAACAAAACTTAGGAAACTCATATTGTCTGATTATAATGCTGTAGTAAATTGAGAGCAGTATTGTCAAATATTCTTTTACATTTGATTAAGTCAGAGAGCCTTATGTGAATCATTGTAGTGGGTGTAAATGGTATTCTTTTAACTGCTGTAATACACTTGTCTTCAATAGTTTGGTGTTTTTTTTTCTATCCTGAGCTAGGAAGAGTCTTGAGTAATAAAATAAGTACTTTTTTTAAACCCCTTTCTAGTTAAATGCTCTGGAATTAATTTGCTTTCTGTGAGATAGTAAACATATTTAATGTACAGAATGTATAATGGAATTTTGATTTCCAGTTGCTGAATATGAAACAGTACTAGAGGAAAGCATCTCTTCAAAAGCATTGTTGTTTCCTCTCCACCAGAAGGCACTGCCTGCCCAAGTTTAAAGGCAACTGCATTTGAATTGTTTTTTTATTTCCTTGGACCTTGGGATATTTTGAACTGGTGATTGGAACTCTTACGGTCTGATTTAATGTGGTTTTTTTAAGCTTTTCTCTGGACTAGAGCTCTCTTGTTTTCCACAAGAATCACAGATTTTTATATTTCAAATAAAAATTGAAGATTATGCAGGTTTGAACAGAAGTGTTTTTCTGAGATATTCTTCCTTCCACATACCCATTCTATTGCAGGAATGGTTCCTATTTTGAAAAGGTACAGTGACTTTCTTTTGCCAGATTTGTGTTACGAACTTTTCCGAAGCTTTACCACTTCCTAAACCTCAGAATTATCAGATGGCCTGGAGTACAGATGGAGTTCCTTCCCTGTCACAGGGGTGGATGTAGTGAACAACACTCTCTTCGTGACTGTGCTGGAGATTGGGAGTTTTTTTTGAAGAGTTTTCCTTACTATATGTACAGTCAGCCTGCTCCCACTGTTTCTAAAGTAAAGAAGCCTTCATGGGAGCAAATGGTGGAGCTTTGCTTGCCTCTTTCCTGAGGGAGGGCTCCTCGTGGCTGAGTGAGGAGGAGGCTTCAGGTGGGATTGTCATGTGAGGGAGAGCCCTGGGCCTCTGGGAACTGCTGTGCCTGGGAGCAGACACTTCCAGTAGGCAGATTTATCTGGTCTGTGGCTTTCACCCTGAAAAAAGACATAAAAGCTGTAAGTTGCAGCCCAGTTTTGATAAAGTATGTGTGGGGTCACAGTGGGCTTCCAAAATGGTGTTAATACTGTTTCTTAGGCACTTCAGTATTTGATAGTGTTCAGTATTATTGGAACACTCATAGTTGCCATAAAATTAAAACATTGAAAACATAGAAAGCATCTAGTTTCCTCTGGACTCCATTGTACTTTTCCAGAATATAACTGAGTCTCTTCACATAACATTTAGAAGTCCTTGAGTCTGTATTTCTGCAGTGTATTTTTTTTTATACTTCTAGCATTGAACTGCTGCAACAGAAATGTAGAGTAATAGAAACCTAAATTGAGTAATGGTTTATAAGAAAGAGTGGCTGTTTCAGCTTGGTGTTTTCTGTGTCCATTTATGTTTTCACCATGCTTTCTTCCAAAACTTGGTACAAATTGCAGCGAGTATAGGCTATGATGCTAAACTACATTTACATCTTCTGTTGTCAACTCCACTGCAATGAAACGCATCGAGTTGAGGAATGTGCATTTGTGCATACTATAGCTCTTGTAGCTAGTTGTGCCGTTTGGAGCCATTAGAAATAAGCAATTGATTTAGCTTGCTGTGAATTTTGGTGGAGGAGAATTGTTGTGTTTGAAGGGATAGCAAGGTTTAAGCTTGTGTTCTGTCTCATGTAGTGCCTCATTATAAAAGGAAAAAAAAAGTTGAAATTTCTAGTTAGTCATAGATTAATTGTGGTTTAAAAAGAAGAACTAGTTCCTTTGTTACACTTTAAGAAGATCTCTCTTTCAACAGTTATAAAGGAGTTTCAAGAGTATGTAGAACCTGAGGAAGGCTACCAAGGATCACCGCAGAGAAGAGGTCCTTCTTCTGGCCAAGAGGATGAACATGTTTCGTTGCCACTTGGAGAAAACGTGCTGACTCACAACCTCGGTATTCCAGTGCTGGTAGTTTGTACAAAAGTGAGTTTCTAGTTCTGTTTGCTACTGTGGAAAAGTTTAATTATTTTTCTTTAAGAAGGCATGCTTTATACAGACATGCAAAATGAATTCTGGATTAATAGTAAAGGGATTTATTTTAAAAGTAAGCTTCTGCCATCAGTGGAAATTCTTAATTTTGCAGAAGGGTAATAACCCTATCAATCATATGTTAAGTACTTTATCTTTTGATGGTATTTTGAAACCAAAGGCTCAAGGTAAACGTGATGTGTATGTAATATTAAGGAAGATGTTGGGGTTAAATGACTGTGTCTTTCTGGTTTTGTTTTTCTACCTTTCTTCCAGTGCGATGCAGTGAGTGTACTAGAGAAGGAGCATGATTACAGAGAAGAACACTTCGACTTCATTCAGTCACACATTCGTAGATTCTGCTTACAGTGTATCCTTTCCTGCGCTGAAGACATTTGCTGTAATCTGGAAGCAAGAAAATACATTTTAGTGTTGAATTGCACATAAAGTTAATCTGAGAAATTGCACTTCGAGACTGCTTGGTATTTAGTTATTTATTATGTAGCATTTGTTGTTTTGAAAATGTTGAGATGTATAAAACTTTTTATAGTTTTTAAATTGTGTATGGGATTTAGAGCTTCTGTTCCTTTACAGAGGATTTGTCTTGCGTTTTGTGAGGTGATGATTCTTGGTTTTCCCTTCAGATACTGTGATTGTAAACTTGAGATCTCTGCTGTCTCTTTAAGTTTTTGACTTTTTCAGAGCTAAGTGTCCGTGAGCGTAGGTAACTTCTGTATATGTCAAAGAAAAGTACCATGAATCTTCTCCTGTTATACCCCCTTCCTCTCCCTGAATGCTAAATGGCTTTTGCCTTGAACTACTTCTCAGAATTAGGTCTAGTAGATATGTGTCCATTAGCTCCTGTTTTGAAATTCTTACTATAATTTAAAAACTGTATCTTACATAATTTTCCTTAAACAACTAATCAGATGGGGCTGCCTTGATTTATACGTCAGTTAAGGAGGAAAAGAACCTTGATCTGTTGTATAAGTACATTGTACATAAAACATATGGTTTTCAGTTTACCACACCTGCCTTAGTGGTAGAAAAGGATGCAGTTTTTATGTAAGTCAATTGTATAAGCAGCATGGTTTCAGGTTATTTTCTGTTAAGCATGGCAGTTCATATAAGATACATATAAAAATAACTTGAATGGTTTGTGTCATTCAAAAGCTTAGTATGTGAGTCTTCTGAAATCCTGAATTAAAAAAACAACTTAGTCTGTATTACTTGGGTTACTTGACTCAGAGTATAGTATTCCAGCTTTTTAGTATCTTTGGAATTTAGCTGAGAATTAGGACTGACCTGTAATAAAATTGCCTTATTCAGGTAGAGGGCAGTAAATAAATGGTCTCTGCAGAAGTGCATTTTGTGACTGAAAAGGCAAAGCTTTCCTTCTTTTTATAGACCTGCCGGTTGGGACAATGAAAAGAAAATTGCCATTTTACACGAAAACTTCACAACAGTGAAACCAGAAGATGCATATGAGGACTTCATTGTAAAACCTCCTGTAAGAAAGGTAAAAAGGGGTAAACTCTTCCCTGCCCCCCGACAAATAAATGCAGTTTGCTTGAATGGCTACTAATAGCTATTGATATTGAGGAACTCCAAATCTAAATGTAATTTTTTTGTATCCAAATGTGTGAAACATCAGGCTTTAATTTTCCAGTTGTTTAAAATACTGCAAGCAAACACAAAAATCATTCAATTTAGTGAATGAAAGGCAGTCCAGAAAGAACCATTTCACATGAACCTTTTTGCATGCGTGGGGCAAAACCGCTTTAAAAATGGAGAATACTGTTGTAGGGCTTCAACAATTTACATATATACACACATGGCATTGAGGTTACCATGTAAAGACATATTTCTTAATGTGAAGCAAGAGCAGTAAATAATCCGTATAAATTCCGTATATTGCTAATTTTGTGAGTACAGGCATGCAGGAAAAGGATATGTGTAAAATGGATGATAAGGGACATTGTAAATGAAGTTTTATTCTGGTCTGTATTGGAAAGCTTTTACAACCTTCCTACATGCTTAAAATTTCTAGCTCAAGCCCCAGTATTTGGAATAGGGAAAAGCTATTTGGAGCTTTCATGTAAGGGAAAGGTTTAATCCTGTTGTTTGTAACTCATGGCACCTACAGGAAATAATCATTGCCTAATAGCGCTGTCACGACTGGTAAGAGTCAGTCGTAATGCTTTTTGGGGGCTGAGGGGTTGAGTGTGGGGTCTTACGGAGTAAGTTAATCTCAGGTCTTTGAAGAGATACCTAAATTTTAAAAGAGAATGTGGCTACTTACCAAGTACTCATCTTTCTAGGACAATGCCCACAGGCTGGCATCAATGCTAGTCTACTCCATTCAATTACAATATTTGTTTTTAATGACAACTTCTTTAATGTTACTTCTCTCTTAAATGTGAAAGAAGTTCGGTGTTTGATTTTTTTAAAGTAAAGAGTAGTATTAAACATTTGCCTCTTTTCCTTCCATTTTGGTCACCAAGACATAAAAAACCAGTTAGAGTAAATTTAGTTTTTACTTCTAATAACAAAATATTTTGTTCAACAGTTAGTCCATGATAAAGAGCTGGCAGCAGAAGATGAACAAGTATTTCTTATGAAGCAGCAGGTAAGAATGAAAATAAGTCCTTACTAAATAAGATCTCACTCTATGCTCTTTGTTGTTATTGCCTTCAGTCTTTCATTCCTCATTTAAATCACTAGATAGCCACTTTTCAGCTTTGCAAATTCAGACGTAATTGTGAAATAAGTCTTTATTTTAACAAATACAAGTAGAAAATATTGCCACTTGGCCAGTTGAAACAGAGCTGAGAGAACAGAAATAATTTACTTTTCAAAGGAGAAGAGCAAGAAGATAATTTGAAATTTCACAACATAGATGTACTGATTGGTAAAATATAAATACTTTTAAACATAACATCTTAGCATTGCGGTTTTCTTATAGCAGGAGGCTTGAAAGACTTCTAAGGTGTCAAATTTGACTATGCCGTATCTTTTTGTTTTCTTTACTGCTCTATTGTTTAAAAAAAACTGATAATATTTTCCAGTGTAGTTGATTATAAATACCATAGAGGTTACAGACTTGAGTGTCTATGGTTCTGGCTTATAGTTCTGGAACAGCTGTGTAAAACAAAGGACTGAAGCTTATTTACTTGTTTTAACTCTGTCCTCTAGTGGTAAAGTCTGGAACTATATGAATATCAAAGAGGAAGCCTGTATATAGGAGGAAAAAAATTATCAAATAAATTAATGGTTAGTCAGCTTCACTGTATCTTATTCCTTTATATTTTCTGAAATATATTTAATATCTTTAATATGCTGTTTTTGCAGTCATTCCTTGCCAAACAGCCAGCAACGCCTACAAGAGCATCAGTAAGTAGATCCAAGAAAAGAGTAGGAGGTGTTTTGTTTCCTTCTAGGGAAGAGGGAATGATTGTAACCTGTAGAGGTTCATTTTGCAAGTGCAAAATACATTGTCTTCCCAAACTGCAGGAAGTAAATTAAGAAAAAAACCAACCAAACAAACAAACCAACAACCCAATATTTTAAAATGTTGCTTATAAGTGACTTCATTCTAATTCACTGTGGAAACATAGAAATATCTGATGATTATTGAACTGAAAATTTCCTACAGTGATTCATCCTTTCTTTTAGTGGAGGCACATGTCCAAAATAACTGGTGGTGTTTTGTTTGGTTGAGTTTTTTTCCCCAGTGTGCATACACTACAGTGCTAATATAAAGGTTTAAAAAGTAATTTGTATGTAATATTACATTTGCTTTATATAACTAATCCATTTGAGTTCTTCTCTGATTTGTCTGGTTTGGACTTTTTCTTTTTTAAGGAATCTCCTGCAAGAGGCCCTGCAGGTTCCCCAAGAACTCAAGGCAGAGCTGGTCCCGCCAATGTACCCAGTGCCTCACCAATAACATCAGTTAAGAAACCAGATCCAAATATTAAAAGTATGAATAAGCATTTTACTTTTTTTCTCATGTGTTATTTCCCTAAAGAAAAAACCCAAAACCTCTTTTGTAGAAAGATTTTGGAATTTATTCTCTGATGATATAGTTAGTTTAATAATAGCAGTGAATTTATGACACAGCTTCAGGTTCAATTTTCTTTTTTCTTTTTTTTTTTTTGAGTCATTCAAATGACTTGAAGTAGAGTTCTGTTAATGTATTCAAACTCTGACTGCTTAGCAATATTTCCTTAAATTGCCTAAACACATTTATTATGCATCAGTTGGATTATTAGAGCGGGGACTGCTTTAAACTACACGCAGTTTTATACTTCATGTCACTTATTCTGGAATCCACAATGAAACCTGTTCTTTTACTAAAGCCTGTCATTTTCCATAGTATGGGAAGTAACTTGGAAGTTGTACCCTTTCCCTTCCCTCAGCCCTAAGATGGAGCTCCATGTTGTTGAGCAGTTTCTTTCCTCTGTGCATTGAGAAAGTTAGTAGGGCCAGTATTGTTTTTAGTTATTCACTGTGGTGCCATGCCTCACTTACAGTGGATAAAATACTCAATGCAGTTCTGGATCATGTCTCATTGCTGTATACCCAAGTTCTGATTTCTAAAAAGTAGTGTGGCATGAAAGACTTCACTAAAATGTCTGTATCGTTTGTTAATGGACTCTAAATCTTTGAATTGCATGTCCATACTTAATACTTTGTTTCTTGGCTTCTACATTTTGAAAAAAAAAAAAGCATACAAATATTTAGATTAAAATTTTGTGACACCCCCCCCCCATTCCAGAAGAGCAGTAATATGTTTTCAGTCATCTCTGACTGCCAAAGAACGCAAAAGGCTGGTGTCTTTAAATTGAGCAAGGAAAGGCTCATATTCGAGGTTTAATTTCTTGATTGGTAAGAGAGTTATGTATGTGTGTTAAAAAAATAAGTTCTATCATTTACCAGCAATAACTATTCTGTGAGATATATATATGTATACATATTTGTTTTTTATTTAGATAATGCTGCAAGTGAAGGCGTCTTGGCTAGTTTCTTTAATAGTCTCTTGAGCAAAAAGACTGGTTCTCCTGGGAGTCCTGGTGCTGGAGCAGTGCAAAGTACAGCAAAGAAATCAGGTATTGGACTTGTTATTGCAGGCGGTTTTGCATACTGTTAATATCTTATTTGGCCCACGTTGGTCTAACTGCATGTATCTTTTAAACTGGTCAGTAAAGTGACAGACCTTGACAGATCAGAGTGCCAAAATGTGCAGTCTTTAAAACAGAACTAACCTGCTGCAACTTCACAACTCCAGGACTTCTGTTTAGTTTGTTATAACTTGATTCTTCAAGTGAAGTTACACTGCTGGGATACAAATAACATTTGAGTCTTGATTGTGTTCAGAAAGTGCTGATTTTTAAATTTTATTTTAGAATTCCTTCCTTTCTTGACACTTAAGTGTTGCTTGAAGGAAAATGCAGTTTATTGGGTTTGGGCTGTAGTTTCCAGTAAAACTATTGAAACCTGTCCAGAGTTAAAGTTTAAATGAATTGCTTCTTATGACATCTTCAAGCTACTTTCTCATTAAGTTAGTATTGTATTGTGATCCAACACAACTGATAGCATTGATCAGATGGATTTGTTCTGTGTTTGTGCCTGTGACTGCATTGTATGAGATATTTGCTGATTAAGTAATAGCGCTAGTTTAGGTGGAAATAAAAGAAACCCATTAGAGTACATGGTACCTATACAAAACTTGGTGTTGTAAACCAATTAATTCTTTCTTGATCCAGAATGCCCTCTTCAGTTAAACACTGAAAGGTGCGCCCTGCTTCAACAAGTGCAGCATTATGCTATTACTGACCACAATGTCAAATTAACTGGTTTTATAGGAATAAGACTAGAAATAAATTTTAGGGATTATTTCATCCATGCTCTTTATCTAAAGCAGAATCAGCCGGGGAGTTCCTAGCTAGTCGTTAAAAAGCAAACAAACTCTGAAATAAAAGATGTAATGTAATCTCTCCAGGAAGCCTATTCCAGTACTTAATTTCTCAGTTATTTTTTCTCATGTACAGTCAGTATTTCTTAATCCCAGTACTATTTGTCTTGTTCGAGTGGAGACAGAGATCAGTGTAGCCCCTTTGTCTTTGCAGTGATCTTTTGCATATTTGAAAGCTATTACCCTTTTGCCTGTGACTTTTGTCTGGACTACAAAAATGCACTTCTGTCAGCCTTTCCTCACAGCACATGTTTTTTGTGGCTCTGATAATTCTTACTGTTCTCCTTTGGACTGTCTGCTCAGATGACCTGTTTCTTTTGGTGCTCAGAAATGAATGCAGTACTTCAGACAAGGCTTTGTCTGCCCTAAGTAGGGGTTACTTAATGTGTGTTATGTATTGTGCTTCTGTTTAGATGTCTCTGTGTGATGCCAGGTTTTTTTCATCTGTATGATACTGCTCAGGATTTCTTATAACAGTACAGCCAGTTTAATACAATTTCTGCCTCCTAGCTGGAGGTTTTCTAGTCTGTATCAAATTACCTTCGTGTTTCCAAAAGTCCTGATTTTGATTTATCGTTGTTTTCCATTCTATTATTATGCACCACTTTGATAATTTGTATAAATAACTTTTAACCTGCAATCCTGTCATTCAAAATCCTTTGTAGTCCCTTCAAACATGCTTGTCTACATATCTGATACCTTCAACGGTTGGACAGGGCAGATTGCTGTATAAAAATACTGACTAGTACTATGGATAACTAATGAGCAACTTTATGAATTACAATGCATTCATTTTTCTGAAATATCAAGACTGGGTTTTTTTTCTAGTTTATTTATATGAAGGTTATGTGAGATGTGATATCGACCACTTCTCCCTTCTCCACAGGACCTGTTATCCTATCGTAGAAAGAAATGTGGTTGGCTTGACACAACTTGTTGGTAACAGATCCGTGTTGATTGTTGTGCTGGTAGGCTGTTTTTAAGCATCTAAAATATAATTGCCATTTCTGGAAAAAATACTAGAGTAAAAACTAACTAGTCTGTAATGAGCTTTACTCTTTCCTCTTTTACTCTTCTAGAACATCATGTGCCTTTCAGGAGTTTTCAAAGATAACAAATGGCTGTGTGTACCTTCCCCCCCGCCCCGTGTCAGCATTAGCTTCTAATTTAAATAGATTTTCTCTCATGAAACATCTAGAGGCAGCACTCATATATCCATTCTTAACTTTTCTTGTTTTGCCAGACTAAATTAGGCAAGTCTTCTGTTAGAGGTTGAACTCTGTTTTCCCTGCTAGTTTCTTCTTCATTAGTTCCCATCATTGGCTTATCTTGAACATGTATGCAGTGCTCCAGATATATCTCATTGTAGTGCCTGGTACAGCAGTTCTCTTTCTTTGGTGGAAGTGCTTCTCCTGAGTGATCTCAAGATTGCAGTTGGCTTTTCTTGGCTGCATCAAGTTGGCAGCTCACGCTCATTCCTTGACTTTCAGAACAGAACAATCGGCTTTTGCTCACAAGAAAGTATGCCTGTTCCTTGTCAGCTGATGTGCTCACATCTTGTATTCAGCCAATATAAGATTAAACTTTCCTGAGAAGGTAAGGGCTCCTCACGCTGGTATTGGAAAAGTTCTTGTTGAGTTTATAAGGTAGTTGGTGCTGGTGATAACAGAAAAGATTACTGGCTCTTCTGTGAAAGAGTTGAGGAGAATATCTTGGAGAAAGTCTTATTTACAGCGGCATCTTCTGTGTGAGTAAACGTGCTAAGATGATCTTTATAGGCATTTTAAATGTCTAATCTAAACTGTTGAAAGAGTCCTAAGTATTCACTAAGGTTTACACTAAAAATATTTAGCTTTAAAGAGAGCATCCATTTCTCCCGGAGCTATGAATATCCTGTGGTTGAAATTTTGAGTTTTTGTCACAGGATGAGGGAGACATTGGATTGCAACATACTGGTCAACCTAACTGATTGATTGGTTTCTGCTATGTTAACTCTTACTTGAGAGAACTCTCTCATCTGGGTGGATGCTGCAATGTCATGTCCATTTTTCCTGCTGTTCCTGTCCTGATTCCTCACCCATCTTACTTGCCTTTCTGTTTCTGGACTATCTTTCTTCCATGTGTAGACCATGATACTTCAAAGAACTTCAACTGGTAGTTTCTGTGGTGGATTGTTTTTCTTCACATTTCTAGACTTAAAAAGTGATTTAATTTATATTCACAGGAAGATTCTTGCAAATTCTAAGAGTTGCCTTTATCCTTCTATTCCTGTGCGATAGATAAAGAATTAGGGTTTCCTGCTCTCACTCTAATCTGGAAAGGAGAATGTGTATCATTGTATAGGTATCAATTTAATGCATAATAGCGAGGAAAATTTTTTTCTTAAAAACAGCTCCTTGTATTTCTTTTCTTTTGAAAGATGCTGACCTATGATGGTGGTAAGGGGGAGTATGTAAACCTACGTATCATTGAACAGCTTGGCAATGCTTTTCCTGTCCAGTATGAGGTAGTTGCAGGAGACAGCTGCTTGGTATTATTTTGGAGGCTTAAGGATCCAGTTCATCTAGCATAAAAAAAGCCACAGTTTTTCTTTAGACCTACTTTTGTTTGAGCAAGAATATTGTGTGGGTTTTATTGTTTTAGGGTTTAGAGTTTAACTCCAAGGTACCGCTAGTCTACACGTAAAGTGTTTTGTATTGTAAGTTGTATTACAGTTAATGTACTAATTCTTAAATTTTGTTTAAATGCTCATGCTTTGAATAGATGCTATTGAGTACTGTGGCTTATGACTAGTGCTTAAATCTAAAACCTTTGTAGTGATTAAAGGTAACCTTTTAACTTGGTTATGTCTTTGTACTTTGGAAAAAAACACTTAAAATCTCTAACAGTCAAATCTTTCCTTCTTAATGTTTTCAGCATGTACCCTGGAAAAAATCCACCTAATATTTCACACACATTTGAGCTGGAAAACAGATGCTTGTTAAATTCTTTGGCTATGTAAGGAAGCTGTACATGGTTATATAATCTACTTTTTGTCTAAAAATATAGCTTTTTAAGATTAAATGCTTGTATGCTCTAAGCATTAGAATACATTGTTCCAATTTTAGTGATTCATTTGTCTGTGAGTTTCTAATTTTCAGAATGAGAGAATTAAACTGATGGTTCGCGTAGAGAATTGTTAAAAAGTTTTGAGTCTAATATAAGAATATAAGATACGCCTTTCCATTAAATACTTCAGTGTGTCTGTTTCCAATTGAAGAAGTCCTTTGAAATGACTGCTCTGAGATATTACATGAATATGCAATTCATGTCCCCTTTTTTTAAGGGAAACATTGTCTGCAGACATAAGAGTTCTTCCTGTTAGTTGTTCAATATTAAAAGGCAGCAAGTATAAGTGTGACCAAACAAATGTGATTTTTGTAGCAGGTGCCCTGCGTACCTTGGAAAACTTATGGTTAAAATCTGGGTTTAAATGAAGTTGTGTACAGTTGATTTTTATAGAAAATTCTAAATGTGGTTGTTCTTAAAATGTTAGTTGATGTAAAACATATCACGGGTATTTTTTGGCCTTATGCTGCCATATAATTCAGCATTTCATCTCTTTAAAGTGAATCAAACCTTACCATTTATCGGCCTTTACACAGATATTACCTTGCATTGTGTCAGGCCCTGTGTTCTTGGGTAGGTGGCAAAATAATGAGAAATGAAATAATATTTAATTGTCATATAAAAGTGATTTTATGAATGCTTGTACTCCTTGGTTAAAACATTTCATTGAAATTAGATTGCTTTAATCTTGTCCTTTTTCTTTTTAGGACAAAAACCAGTTTTGACAAATGTTCAAGAGGAATTGGATAGGATGACTCGCAAGCCAGACTCTATGGTAACAACAAGCTCTCCTCCAACAGAGAACGAAGCTTGATAGCGCATAAAAAAATGCATATGTAAATGACCAAATAACTATGTATATTGATCTGATAAGACCAGGAATTTTCTGCTATGGCAGATGCTATCAGTTTTCTTGGGGCAGGGGAAATGAGCTTACTACATCATTGCCTTGTCCCAGTAAAAAGTGCACATTCAGGAAGTTTGCATATAAAATCCCTCTGTATAAGATAACCATTTAGAGTTTATATAGGGCAATTCTTTTGGTTTTGGAGGTAAGCAGGTACAGCTGCGTTTCCTGTTGTGAAGAACTCAAGAGAAGCAAAATGGAGAATTCTTATTAAAATACTACTACTGACTGCACAAGGCAAGAAAGAGAAATCCTCTTTCAGAGTTACTGGAATTGGCTACTTGTATGTTTGCAAATGCATTATATTCTTGGAAAGGTGGTGGCGGTGGTGGTGTAACAGAGCATTAATTAGGTGAAAGAAGCCTAGGTAGGGAATGGAGCCCTAAAAGGGGAAACAGATTTGGGACAGTAAGAAACTAGAATGTTGGATTGACTGGAGAGGAGCAATGTTGTTAAACCCTATGTTTCACATAGGGTAAATAATCACTGTTTTAAAAAGACTACTTTACATTGGAGAATTCCAGGCCAAACACTAAGCATCATGGGAATTTATTCTTGTTATAAATCTCGGTTTAGTTTTTAAAAAAGTCTAAGAGTGTGGATGCCCTTTCTGGTGTAGCTGACAAAGGGAGAAACTATAACTTGTTTAGATCCAAGTGCCTGGCACTGTGTGTGATGTGTCTTTAGAAGGTGCTTGAACTTATTGTGCACTGTAGTACAAACAGTCACTGTTTGGTTTTATTTTAAAGTCAGTAGTTTGGCAATTTGTATTTAATTTTAAATCCTGTTTTCTGATAGCTTCTGCCTTTTTTTATGCCAAGAGGCTAGAATATGAAGAATGGTGGGTGACGTATCATTTTCCCATAATGAAATGTGCTACAGAACACTCAGTATTTTTTTTTCTTACTTTTTGTAACTAAATACTAGCTACCAAGCTAAAATTGATTCCTGCCTTATACCTATGGAGGTTTTTAAAAAAAAACTTTCAAGGCCCTAGTTCCAACCACATGTGCTGCAGGTGCAGCCAACTCCAATTCTGAAGGTAACCTAAAGTATGAATGTGTACATGATGAACATAATAACTTGTTTTGTATTTTTTTTAATGTAGCATTTCATTTGGAAAGATGGGTTGTGGTTGTTCCCGTTGCTCTAACGGAGCTCTGTCCATGGTCACATAAAACCATCATTCTATAAAAACAAACAAAACTGCTATGGTTACTGAAATGGCACTTTGATTTTATATACGGTATGCTTGTTTTACATGTACACACTACCATAAATTAAAAATACCAAGCATATTCTGTGCTCTTAACGCTGAAGGGAAAAACCACAATTTGAATTATGCAGAGTTTACTTTTTATTGATATGAACTTGTTGTACTAAATCTGATGTCTGGATATAACTTCCCTAATATATATTGTTACTTAAATATACAGAATTAGATTGACCACTAACACAGTACTGGATGTTAACTTCAAATCCTATGTTACATCAAGAGGCTGTTCTTGTAAGTCTGTCTGAACATTATCTAGAAAGCTAAGAGTATTTACTTGCCTCTCTGACAAACATTAACATATGTTATTTGTGCCAGTTTTTTGTTGAAAATACTTTTTTTAAATGTTTTTTTAATAAACGGTATGACCTGAAGTTGTACAGTTGTCTAGATAACATTTAGACTAAGACTACGGATGGCTGATGGGTAATGTGGATGTACTTCCTGGTGTAATGGGTGCCAGTTGCAAGTTACCACACCAGAAGTAGTAATTACACACTGTCCTCCTGACACTGAGAATTGAGATTGGAGACGAAAACATCAAAAACTCAACAGGAAAATTGAAAAAGTGTGTGATCGTAATGGGATATTAGTTTGAAAACCTCAGTCTGAAACGGCATTTTTTTGTCATCTAACCTGATAAGCACTTTCTCTAGCAATATCGCTAAAACTTAAAATTGAAGTACTTTCCAGTTCTATAAAAATGTTAAATATACTAAAATTGATCAAAACTGATAACGCATGATAACTTACCAGCTTTGCAGAAAGATGCTTCTGACAAAACAGGAACAGATTTCCGGTTTCTAATTGCAAGTGAATGCTCCTAGTTTATTGAAAGTAAGTTGTAAGTAACGTAGCATCCTGTGGTTGCCAAAGTCTGTCAACTTTGGTGAGCTGCACAGTTGTTACTCTGGTGTCTTCAAGCATTGGAACCAAAGGCCAAATTGCAAACAGCCTTTACATTTTCAAGTGAAACTTCATTTTATTTGCAGATACACTTGTATGGTAGACTGTTTAAACTATTATATGACTATATTTATATGCATTATAGTGACTGCATCTACTGTTCATGTTTAAACTAAGAAAACAAAAGATGAAAGCATTCAACTTGAAGCAAACAGAAAAGTTTAAAGATTGGCCCTCCATAAAAATGCTGTGGTTATGCTGCTTGATTTTAAGTTTGCACTTTTTTTATTGGCATTTAAAAAAACTGTTTAAACTGAACAGAACTTCGTATTTTATTTAATTTAACTATGTTGAAAGTGACTGCTCTGTACATCATGAACTTAACAATATACATGCTGTAAATGAAAGTTCACTGTCCTGTATACTAAGTTTATTGGTTTTTTTTCCAACTTACAATTAGGACTGCAAATGTATGAAACAAACCTTAGTCCAGTTGTATGGCTTTAACCAGGTGCAGTATGCAGTCATGTGGAATCTTGCTTTCTAGTGCTGGCAAAATGAGGACGTCTTTAATTACTGGCTTCAATAAACACGAATCCAGACTGCTTTATGCTGTGCTTTGTTGTTGTTTTTAAGATCCCCCTTTAGAGGTGTTTCTGTGGGAGAAGAATATTGGTGAGTTCTGTGAACAGGAGAAATAAGTTGGCTTATACAGTTGTGTACCTTAATGACAGCTTCCTTCTTGGGAGTTCCTGTACAAGCCTTTGCTAGTGCAACTTCTCTCTGGAGTTCAGAGCGTGCACCTTGTGTAAGTAAAGCGAAGTTGGCGTAGCTGTGTTTGCAGAGAGTGGTGTGCTCATGATAGCTTACATATAAACAGTTATGTCAGCAGAACTGGTTTTGATGTAAAGTAATATATTTCATGAGAATGGGAAAACAGTTGTATATTTTCCCAGGTTAAGAGGTATACCTTCTAGTAGATTTTGGGGAATACTGTAGCCGAGCAGAGCATTGGTCCTAAATTTGCAGGACTAAAGTCCAGGTTATGAGAAGTTTAAGGAGTAAATTGCTTGAGTGGTACAAATGCCATTTCTCTGCCAATAGCAAAGCTAAGTTTTCTCCCTTTGGTGGGTGTAATAAGTTCTTCCTAGTAAGCATAGAAAGAGTAGGCTGATTTAATTAGGATTCTACTTCTTTACTTCATTGTTACTTTAACTGGATGCCTATATATTCCTCTGCATAGATTGAAATGCTAGTTACTAGTGTTTCTTGAGTCACCCTGCCTCTGAAATACAAATAGTTTCTAAATACATAGTTTCTCTAGAAGTGAATCCTTATAAGACCATGAAACAATTAGCATTTTAGAATTGCCATAATGCTTTATGTTTTAATGAGTTCATTCATGTAAATATTTAGAAAATATTTTTAATATATGAAGATGAATATCTATTATGTTAAGTTGGGAGGAAACTAAATGAAGATTTCATCTTCAGACATGCTGAAGTTGAAAGTTACTTTCTTCAGAAAGACCCTAACAGTGGATTGAAATGGAAGAACACCCTTGTAACTCTTACGTTTACTTTGCTGTTGTTCAACTGTAATTTGTTTTTTTGAAAGCAAAATGTTTCCAAGGGGTTTTTTTTTTGTTTGTTTGGTTTTGGTTTGTTGTTCTTTTTTTAAATTGGGATAATAAGGTTTTGGTGCGGAAAACATCTTGCTGGAGGCTCTAAGCTACTCCTACAGGATGAATCTTCCATTGCCTGTACTGTTCCAGATGGTGGTGTTAACCCCTCTGGCTTTTCAGCCATGGGAGGATTTTGTTAGGGAATTAAGTTCTTGGACAAGAACCTTTGCTTGGATAAAACCATCAGTTTGTAAGTCTTTGTAGTTCAAATACATACAAGGGAAAGGCTATAGATTATTAGGTTGTTATTGATGACCTAAACCAGACTCTGGTTGTCTGGGTCTATATGTAGAACTACATGGAATATCTAAATTGAATATTTAGTACCAAAAGCAGAACTTGTCTGTTATTCAGTCTTTTAAATTAAAAAATGTATTCATAGGATAGAGGCAGTTTTAATTCCAAAAGCACAGCTTTCATAATAATTAATGACTTCTCTGATCCAGTTAGACTGTGTGGAGATGATGATGTAAGCACAAATAATTAAGAAAGCAAACAGTATGAACTAATGCTTTGGGACACCGCGTGGCTCTGGTTTCACAAACATCTGAGATTTCTGCAGTGAAATGTAACTGTAGTTTATAAACAGCCGCTCCATGCAATGGGAGTTGCGGAAGTGCAGGTGAGGACAGAACCTGATCTAGCATGCTTTGCTTTTCTCTGGAAAAGTGAAATGAAGCAAGCTCTGACTTGGGCATGTACATCAATGCCTCTTGACATTCAAATGCTTAAAAAAAGCTCAAGGAAGTTAATTTTCTCAAATGAAGTGCTTTACAAGTGGTAGTATGAATGTGGTGTTACAATGCTTCAAAAACATGCATGTCTCCGTAAATCTTAAGCATAGGGCACCTAATTCTGCTTTAAACCTGCTTTAAAAAAAAAAAAATAGTACTATTAGCACCTTAGACATTTATTTTGCCAAATACAGCAATGTACTTAAGAGCATGGTGCTGACATGGTTTAGAAATGACTGAAATGACTGATGCGAAAGATTTGACTTGTCAGTGTAAGTTGATAATATAGCACCGTTGTCCACTGAAATAGCTACGTAATCACTGTGTTCTGTTACTCATAGTCACAGGCTTCGAGTTAGTGGAGGGGTTATATTGAAACCATGCTAACAGTTACATGCAAGAGGTCTGTAAGATAATGTCATAAACAAGGGAAGCAATTAATTTTCTCTGTTGCCTTTGCAGACTTCCTATGTGGCAGAATCAACATTGCTAGTTGTAACTTTTTATCTGAAGAAAAAGATCCTTGACTCCCCTCTCCTGCCAATTAATTATGATTATGTTTTGCTGAAGGTTTTTGGAGATGAAATGTTCCAAGTCCAGAAGGTGGCAGACTTGGGATCAGCACCTGTAGGTAATGCTGCTTGATGTGCCATTGCAAGACGCTATATGCATTGCTTGTGATATTCTCTTAATAATTCTTGTTTACCAGATTATTTTTTTTTTTAGGCTAAGTACCTTCCAAAGAGTGACTTGCTGATTTTTTTTTTCCCAAACAAAAGCAGTTTCATTCAGTTCTAAGAATTTTGTTAATATGGGTTAAGCTTTTTTTTCTTTCTAATTTTGGGTTGTCGTAATTAAGACACTCCGGTTCCTTTCTTTTGGAATAAAAGCTGAAATAGCAATATCCAACACTAAAAGAAAACAGTTGTATCTGTGCCCAAGAAAGCTGAATTAGATTGTACAAGCTGCCTTTGAAAAGTGTTTGATTTTTCAGTATGAATATTCACTAATGAAACTGTTGGTACTTGTTTGTATGTCACACTCAGTGTAGCTTTGACACATATAAAAAAAGTCATCCTTGTCTCAGAATTGCCAAATGCTTAAAAACAACAAGAAAAATCCTTCAAAATATGCCAGAAAGGAGGTTGCAGCTAAAAGATGCTAGGAATAGCCTTGTATGAATATTTCCAAGAATGTGCAGTAAAATATTGATGTTCTTGAGAAAAGGGAACATGCAGTTGTAAATCTCTGGCACTCAGTTTACCAGACTGAGAGCATTGCAAAACTCAGGGACTTTCCTTTTAGAGAGAGAATGAAATGACAGCATTAGAATTGAGTTAATTGGCAGAACAGAGGGAGTAAGACCACTGAAAAGGTAATGGATGGAGATGGCCACTGAGGCTTGGGCCAGATCAACTCTGCGTATTGTTCACTGGACTTAACCAGTCTGAGGGACTAGAGGCCAGAGTACTCTCGCATGCATTGGCCCAAGTGACCGGCTATAATTTTTGTCTTGTCCTGTGTTGCACATTTCCCTCTGTGAAAGGACCCAGCCAAGTTTTTGGTCTGATGCCAGCCTTTTGACTGTCCTGCAAGGCAGTCTGGGGTAGGTGGTAAAAGCCTGAGCCAGGTACAGCGAATTCACGATGTGGTCATAGTGCAAATAGGAATGGTGGGCACATGTGGTGGGAGGGTACCACATGAATAGGCAGAGGCTCCGTAATTAAAGTCTGCATCTGAACGCAGATTTGACATGTGTTTTGGTTGCAGAGCAAACTTGGATGTTGCATTCAAGTTTAAATGGCCATATTGATCATGTACGTCTTAAATAGTAGGAAAAAGGTGGAGATGGATGTTACTTGCTCTGGCTGGTTAATAAAAATGGTTTCACATTGATAATAAATCACTGAGTACTATGAGATTAAAGCCTCTCTTTTCCAGAGGAATCAAATGATTATCCATGAAGGACTTGGTATACTGATTATGCTTTGGAGGTTATTAGAAAGGGAAGATGTTCAAAATTTTCAGATGGTCTGAAAGACTTAAGTTACTGTGCCCATTGGCGGAGAGGGAGAAGCAGGACAAAATTTCATTTTATTAAAGATCAGTCACTGACTGCACAGAAAATCTTTTAAATCCAAAACAAAGGCAAAAGGCTAGGGGGAGAGCTCTTCTACTTCCAGCCAAACCCAGAACTGGATTTATCTAGCCTAGGTGTGGAGGTCAGGAAGGAGAGTGATAGAGAATTCTATCATCTGTGCTGTCATCTCACTGTGTGACTCAACTCACAGCTGTCAGCTGACAATATCCTTCGGTAATAATTGTTAGTTCCTGTTGTAATGGGCTGGTTTTGAAACAAGCAAGTGGTATATTAGCCTTTGATCTATCTAAGAGAGTGGGGTTACTGAATTTATACTGAAATTTGTTTATGTTGTAAACCTGAATTATTACATACAGGTTTATTCTTCTGGGAAAAGCACACCTGCCCCAGAAAAATACCAGATTGTCAGTAGGCAACTGTAATTAGCAGCTGCTTAACTAGCTGTATTAGGATGTTTTTACCAATATCTTGCAGTGCTGTTTTGCTGGGCTGAGAAATTGCCAGTGAAATTGGCAGGATCTGAAATATTTCAAATTTAGCAAAAGCCTGTGAAAATCTCTCCAAGTCACCTTTTAGCTGAACAGACGTACAAGACAACTATTAAGAGAATGCTGTCATATTTAAAATATTTTTAGCATGGTTTTCTCTGTTTTTGCATCTGTGCTCTGTCCTATTCTACCCCCTCCTCAAAAATAACTAAAATCTTTTGGCCAGCTTCAGTAAGAAGAAAGATCTTGCAGATAGCTGACTTAATACCAGTTGCATGAAAATTAGTGGCTTGCTGGAGACGATAAATCCCAAGATTTCCTCTGCTTTAGGTAGGGTTTGCCAAGTAAGTTTGGCTAGTTCGTAGGCGAGACAGGCCAAACAGAAATCCGTCGGTCTGCACACATGGAACCTGGCATAGCACTTGCTTCCTCTTGCTCAAGCAGTAGTTTGAGGACATAAATAGGAGCTAAGCCTGCTGTGTGTGAAAAGGGACTCTCGGGAGGGTGCTGGGTCATTGGGCTCAGTGGGAGGGGTGAGGCGGGGAAGGTAGGAAGAGAAGACATAAGTCTGTAAGGAATCAGGATTTATTAGTTCCGCTGTGTATGGCTTTGTAGAGTTGGGGCCATATGCCTGCCTTGAGTTTATGGCCAGTGATGACTTGAAATTATTTTTCCTGTTTAAAGAAAGAAGGGGAAAAAAAAAAAAAAGCCCAAACTTTCCCTTGCATGTAGAAGACGCATGTAACTAAAGAAATACTGTGCAAGGGAATGAGCCAAATCAGCTGAAATAAAGTTCTGTCATATGGAGGAATGAAGTGTTGTTGAAAAAAAGGAATATTCTTTGAACTGTTATCATGTTAGCTGATGTTAGCAATAAACTGTAGTTTAGCTGTAAGTAAAACAAATTCAGAAGGATAATTAAAAAATGAACTTTTTTAACATTTGCAGTTCCCCACCAGAAGTGCAGGGGCCTGATTGGTTTGGTTACTTAACAACAAACAGGGTATTAAAACAGTTGAGGTCAGTTGTTTTCACTGGCCCATTTCGTCCGTGGAAAGAAAGAATGTAGTGAGTGTACTTCATCTTTTTTTTTTTTTTTTTTTTAAGCCTGCTAAGGGACCTTTAAATCTTTGCTTATAAAACATGTTTTATACAATTTTTTCATCCTCCCCTTCAGTTTCCCACCTCCTCAAAAAATAAAAATCAGCTTTTTCCCTCTGAAGGCCTGCTGTACTCTACACACTCCATCTCTTGCTATAAAAATACTGGATATCACAGGGGCAGCATGACCATGCCCACGCAGTCAGAGGGAACTAGTGTTTTCTGGCCTTCTGTTTGTGTGTTCTTATGGTTTCATTTGAAGACGACTACCTTTTTTCTCAGTTCAGGGCGCTTTTTTTTTTTTTTTCCCCTCTGTTCCCTGAATAAATGTAGTGCCATGAATAAAATAAACACTGCTGTCAGTCTCTCTG